AATCCTCATGCAAAGTTAGAATTCATGTTAAGGTCTGTTACAGAGTAATTATGCATTTTCTGATTTTCTGTCTTTGAATGAGCAGTGTTGGTCCAAGGTTGGACTCAAACGCAAAGTGTTGGAACGAACTGTCTTGTTTTTACATCCTCTCAGACGTAAATAGAGAAGCTGGTACCTGTTGGCACCTGTTTTCCGCCAACTCGTCCAAACATTTCTCTCTCTGTCTCTAAAAACATTTTCAATCTGTTCCATAACATTCTTGCTGTTTTTCTGACTTCTAGTGACCTCTTACGTCACAAAACACACCCCTGTCTGGTCGATATTGACCAATCAGAAACTCCCAAATGAACCGGAAATAGAGCTCTTTAAAATGTCGGTACTTCCTAGTTCAACCAGTTGAGTTTGAGTCGTGTGGAGTTTCCAGTCGGGTCGAGAGTCGAGTTTGGAGTCGTTGCAGCTCCCGTGCTGGGAAACAGGAAGATCCTGACATGACCACAGAGCTCTTCCGAGTCTTATGGGATTATAACATCTTCCACCTCTGGGTGGAACTCTGACGGACTCCACTCATGTGAAGTCCACTCGTGAGGTGAACTTGTGTCGGACGGAATACCGTCACTACTTCGGACGATTCACAGCTGTTCCTGCGGAGACGCTGAAAGGGTGCGTTAAATGGAACTTCTTACCAAGGAGACAACTCCAGGTAAAAGAGATTTCTATCACCTAAGTGTACTGGGGAAGAAGCTGAGAAAAACCCGGAGAGTGCCGTTTCTGGTGCCGACATAAACAAACCCCCTCACCCATCTTTTTCTCCCTCTAAACTTCATCTTTCCATCTTTAAAATTCTTCTATCAAGTAGAAATCATTCCAGATAATTTAGAAATGTCTGTGTAAAGTTCTCAACCACAGCCGTGTGGTTAATCAAAATTGTACAGCTTGCTAAAATTAGCCATGTTGTTATTTTCCATATTTTGCCAATTAATGTAAATGTGTGATGTGTTAAACTTTGATTCTGTCAATAAATGACCACATTCATTTTGATGGGTCAAAGATAATTAACGTCTCACGTTACATTTCTAAATTCAATGCACATTATATACAGTCCAGAAAAATGAAAGAATCCGTTTAATTTATGAATATATCTCATGCATATGTTCATCTACATCTGAGATATAAAAATAGTTGCGTTTTGCTGCTTTAATGGCAGTTGTACATTTATTCCTCATCTGTCGAAAACTCAACCAATCAGTGTCTGAGTCAGATTTTCTCGCTGCAGCCCAAAGATGATCTTTCCTGTGCAGGAGGTTAGCTAGCTCTGGAGTAAACCAGGGGCTGTCTTGTCCCTTTATTCTGAACTGACGAAAAGGAGCATGTTTGTTAAATTTATGTATTTTATACATATACTGTACTTCATATAAAGATTCAAGGCTAAACGGTAGATTGACTGATTTTAGCTTCCTGCAGTTTTTACCAAAAAACTTTTAATTTTTGCATAAATCGTGCTTTCAATCTGCCTGGAGGTTCACACAGGAGTTGTCCTCATAAAACAGATTATTTTCAAACAGTATTTTAAATCTCCACTGAGGACATGACACCAGATCATTCTGGCTATTTCTCCTGTAGATCTGATCTCAGTTCAAATTATAATATTTGAGTTTGATTAAGTGAAATTTCTTTTAGATTAATATCAAAATTATATTAACAGTTGTGGACACGCTCTCGGTGAAGGCGGATGCTTTTTACTCCTGCTCCTTCCTCTGCTTCTGCTCTTTGTCCTCTGAACCTTTTGGAGCCTCTTTTTACATATTTTCTGAACTGTAAATTATGGATCTGGTCAGCTGGTCTCTCAACGCAATAGATCAAATTTTCTCGACAAGAAGACAGGATGAAGGAGAGCTCTCCTGCCCTGATGGGACAATTGCGGCCAGATACATGATGGATTCCTGGGGGCAGTGGAAGATCATGTGTCTGTTCATATTGTCAGTCGAGGATGCTGAAGATGTGTACATAATTGGATTTATGATAACAAGAGTTCTGCTTTTTGGAGTTGGTGGTTACCTGGCATATCAACAAATTCGAAAAAGTCAGCGTTCTGGCCATCGTGAAGCTGACTGGCCTGTGTGAGGGGATGTGCCATGCTGTGAACACTCAGACTCAGATGCTGTGTGAGCTGAGCCGTAAGCTGGACGTGATTCTTGCTGAGAATCACAGGCTATTTGTGGCTCCTGAATCTCGCTGGTGGGAAGGAATTGACCTTGAAGAAAATACAAGTTTGGCTCGGCGGTACTGACCACAAATTTGGCTGTTTGGAGTCACCATTAAGATATACTAGTGAGACTGTAAGGCAGACGTGAAATTTACAGAGTCAGCCTGACCCAAAACAACTGTTGTTATCTGAATCTGGCTCCCCTGTGTTGGCCTTGGAAGGCTATCTCAAATTCTCCTGGATGTTATGTGAACAAGATGCTCTGCTCCCACTACTCGGTCCCTTACCCAAGGACATCTGTGGACCTGTGTCAGAGCTCTATTGAGGCCGGCTGATAAACACTGCATCAACACTTGTCATGGATTATAGCTGGGGGTGGGGCTATCTGGAACAGTGTTCACAGACTTACGTACAAATGCACACATGCATACACGCACTCGCACAGCTATAAACACACTCCCCTCAACTCACCGCCTTCATTGGCCTTTCTCTTTTTGCCCCCCTGGTGCGGTAACCTAGGTTGGATGTGAGGCACCAGGTGGCTGCGACGCTCTCTTGGACGGCCTGTGCTGGGAGCCCCCCCATCCCACTTGACCCTCACCCACTCCACATGCATATGTCTTATTATGTCATCTGTATGTTCCTTTTCTGTGCTGAGGTTTATTTGCAACTTCACCCTGTGTTCTGTTAGGCACACAGTGTGAGATATGATTTTTTTTTTTTTTTTACCTCCTCTTTCCTCGTGTTCCTTTTCCTTATCCAATGAAAAAGGCAGCGCCTCTCATGAGGCTGCAGCCTCAGGTACCTGTCTACCCATGTCTATGTTGTTTGGTTGTTTATGTTTCTTTGGAAGGGTTGTACTGAAATGGAATTTCTTTGTGCTTCTATGGAATGACAATAAAGGCTGATTCTGAATTCAGTTTTACTTGTTCTGTTTTCTTTGATAATCTAATTGTTTGGTATCTCACATCCACATATTTAAATTAAACCTTTGTAATGTTAGATGCACAAAACTGACTGAGTTTTAAAACTCAAAACCTATAGAAAAGTCAATTTCACAAGAGATCTTTGTTTCTGTAGTTCTTCTGAGGATTACTGTTCAAGAGCAGGCTGTCGGTGGGAAAAGCACCGACTCATTTATGAGATGTAAAAATAGAGACGTAATGTTGTCCAAAACAAACTTTAATGTACTATAAGGAAGAAAAACAATAAAAACAAAGAAAACCTGGTTTTAAAATCCTATGAGAAAACTACAAGATTTTAATTGAGGAAAGTATCAGAAAGTTTGATTCCACTTTTTATTGCTCACTTCTTTGTGGGCGATTATGCTTTATCTGTGTGTGTGTGTGTGTGTGTGTGTGTGGGGGGGGGGGGGGGGGTCTGATACCAAAATATCTTAAGTACCACTGGACAGATTTTAATATTGCTGTCACTCAAAATTTGTCCAACGCATAAAGGGATTTAACTCAACACATACATTGAGTGTCTTGACAGCTAAAGATATTTCATAAAATTGTTGAAAACAATATTTTCAACGTTGACCTAAATAGATAAAACTCTATTGTTTATTTAAACACAAGATAATATTTGTCTTCAACTCTGATGAGGGGGGGACAGGCATTCTACAATCCTTCATGTTGCTGTGTTCATTCATCCTCATCTGCTCACAGACTCATGTTCGTGCTGCTGTTGTTCTGCGTATTGTTTTTGTACTACTAGTGCTTAGTATATTTTAATTAATGTTTTTCTTAGTTCATATTTTAGATCTTATAACTGTTTTTCTTTTACATTTTATACTTCTGTTGGATGTAACCGGGACCCTGTGTACACAGTTTCACTCCACCACATGAGATGCGAAGGACAATAAAGAAAACCTTGACCTTGACCTTCAAAGAGTGCTATGAGAATCGGTGTGTGTTGGTGTTTGTCATCCCTTTGTTTTTCTGGCTCCTACACACTTGTCCCCTACCCTACTCTCCCCAGGTGTTTTTCATTCTCAATCATGGGTTTTCCTATTTATTCTGTGTCTTTGGGTCTTCTCATTGGTCCGTGGATTGTCCTCCTAGGTGTTCTTGTTCTGTTTATGCTCATCTCGTGATCTACTCCCTACATCAGGGCTATTCAACAAAACTGCTCAGGAGGCCACAGTTTCTGAAAGTCAACAGCCCGGGGGCCAGACATCCAGCAATTAAAATCATTATGTAACCAAACCAAAGTTTACAATGATCTGTTACCTTTTAAATATGTTTATTTTATTGTATTGAATCATAAATGCAATAAACAGAACCCAAACCCAGACCCCCTCCCCCCCCCCCCCCCAAAAAGTTTTTTTTATTTTTTTTTATGAAGTGGGCTGGATTGCCGCTAGTTTAATAGCCCTGGCCCTACATGTAAATTTGGCTGCCATGTCAGCCCCTTTTCGTTGATTATAATAAATATTCTCTATTTACTCATGAGTTCCTGAGTCCTGTGATGGACTTGCAACCCGTCCAGGGTGTACCCCACCCCTCGCACAGTTATTGCTGGACATGGGCACCAGCGACCCCGTGACCCAAAATGGAAGAAGCGGGTAAAAGATAATGGATGGAGTTCCTGAGTCCTGTCTGCACCCGGGTTCAACCTCATGCACAGATCATGACAAATGCTAAGACTTTAAATTAGAATTTGTATTTTCAGTGAACAGAAAATATTACAGTGATTTTCTTTTTACTGGAAAAATCAAAATCAGGTGTAAACAAAACCTCTAAGTGTGACCCAGTTTGTTTGTATGTAATCCTTTGACGTGATTTGTCCTCACCGGCGTTGTGAGCCTCCAGCTGAGACAGAGAGTTAACGGCGACTTTACACAGAGAGCAGTACAGAAGCTTTTTGGCCTTCTCCTCCTCCAACTCTGCTGAGGGAGCACCATCCTGGGAGCATGAGGTCTGTACGGGAGGAGCAGAGGAGGACGTGGAGGTGACTGGAGCTGGAGGGGAGGATTTAGAAGAAGATGAGGATGACGAGGAAGAAGACAAAAGGCCTGGAGCTGACAGAGCAGAGGGGGGGCTGGATGGTGGAGGCTCACTGCCTGCTCTGCTGGAGATGGAGGAGAGAGGAGAGGTGGAGGATGGGAGACAGGATTTGAGAGAAGACAAGGAGTCGTTGGGGCCGGATAAGAGTTCTGGAGGGAGAAAGAAATAAAAGAACATGAAACTTTAAACATTGACTGTGACTGTCAGATCAGAGGGATCAGAAGATAAACCAACCTGAGCTGTTAGTAGAGATGGAGTGGACAGGATCACAGCGTCTCCCATTGGTCTTTGCAGCGACAGACTGTTTGGCTTTAGTCTTGTTCTCCTGAGATTTAAACTTTTTAGCATGACGGCTGCCTCTGAAATGAGCCTCTGCCTGTAACTGAAAATACACAGGACAGAAATAGTTGAGCATTTCCCTTTGGTTTTGTCTTGATGTTGCAGATATTAATGTTCATTTTGCTTCTCTGCAAGTGCATATAACAGCAGCTAGCTGAAGCCAACCAAGAGAGCAAAGATGACCCCAACAGAGGTGCAGCTCTTTTGCAGAGATTGGAGGGTCTGTCCACATGACCATTATAAACTACACAGGGCTGGACTTCAAGAAAGAGTTGAAGGAAAAAGTCCTGGCTTACAGAAAAAAAAATTCTGGCAAAGTTCTTCCCTAAACCTGTGAAAGTAGGTTCTGCAGCCAGATGGGACCATACTCAAACTATTAGGCTATCAATATCTGAGAACAATCTCATAACAAAATCATCAATTTCATAATGCTGAGAACCACATCCCTACAATGAAGCATGGTGGTGGTGGTATCATGCTGTTTTCATCAATAGAACCTGGAAAACTGGCCAGAGTTGAAGGGATGATGGGAAAATCAAAATATTAAATATTTCTTGAGGGAAACTTGTTTGAGATTTTCCAAAGGTACTGGAATGAAGATTCACCTTCAGGAGGACTATGAGGCTAAACACACTGCTGAAACACATCAAGAGCTGAAGGAAGAACAGTTATCTTAATTGTCTTGGAATGGTTCAATCAAAGCCCAGACCACAATCCAACTGAGACTGTTATAGGCATCACCCATCCAACCTAAAACAGCTGGAGCACTTGAGTTGTGAATACTGAATAAATATTCCTGTGTTTGGATGTCAAGCTCTTGAAAATGTAAGTGAAAATATTTTTTCCTTAACTGCAGCTAAAGGTAACTGTGTGGCGGACACAAATGTATCTGTAGAGGTTGGCTCCTCTACCCCTCCTTTCTCTGTTGTTTGTGTTTTTCTAATTATCTCTCCACAGCTGCTGCTCATTACCTGGACCAGGTGGAGGAGCTATTTAATCTGGAGCCTCACTCCAGATCAGTGCCAGAGCTAAGTTCTACCAAGCTCCATGTTCCTGTGACTACTGGCTGGCTGACTTCAAGCTCCTTATCGGTCTCCCTGCATGACAGCAGCGTTTCTCCTCCTCCACCTTTATTCCTGTGTGCCTCACCTGGTTCCTGGTTCCTCCTCACCTCCACCCCGGCTCCCTTGGTGATTTTTGTAAATACACTCGTTAAAATACTCACCTGATCCCACCGTGGATTGTTGGATTCGGATCCTGTCTCCTGTTCTCATGCTCCTGGAACAACAACGACAAGTAAGCTTATTTTTGGATTACTATCAACATTTCCACAATCTCCTCTCAAGACAATTTGTCGTTCACCACCAATCTCCTCTCTATTCCCACAGTGGATCCATCCTGAGTTTGAGTTTACCAGCTACACCTGAACCAATAAATATAATTGTTTTTTACCTCAAGTTGTTTAGTCCTTGCTTCAAACCGTTCGCCTTTGACATCACCCACAGACCCTAACAGATTGCTCTGGCCACAATATGTCAAAGAACGGTTTGAATGCTGATCAGGTCACCCTTGAGGAGAGGGTAAGGAGAAATGAAGCTCTCTTACAGGAACTAATTACCCAACACAAGACTACACAGTCGAATCTGGAAACGGTGGGTGGAATGATTCAGTCCATCGGCAATAGAATGGGAACACTAACTCCACCCACGCCGGCCGTCTCACCACCATTAGCGCCGCCAGCGCTAAGCACCGCCCGCTCGGAACAACCCCGTGAGCCGGAGATTCGGCCGGCCGCAGTTTTTGAAGGTATCCCGGAACAATTCAATGGTTTCCTCCTCCAATGTGAACTAGCATTTGCCCGTTCTCCTTCCCTGTTCCCAAACTCTGCATCCAGAATCACTTATATCGTTACTTCGTTGAGAGGTTTACCTCTTGAATGGGCTCATGCCTACCTTCAGTCTCACCCTGTGGTTTCACTATCATTTAACGACTTTATTAAGGAGTTCAAGAGTGTGTTTCATGTCCCTGTCCACCAGGAGGAGACGTCCTGCCATCTGTTGGCTATGAGACAGGACCAAGCTACCATGGCTGAATACGCCATCCTCTTCCGGGTTGCGGCGGAGAAAACCAGGTGGGATGAGGTGGCACTAAAGGGAGTATTTTCTAATTCACTTTCTGATCAAATAAAGGATCAACTGGCACTTAGAGATGAGCCGGAAACGTTGGATGATCTCATCAGTTTGGCGATCAGGATCGATAATCGCCTTCGGGAAAGGCGGGGCCAAGCAGAACCGATGGCTTCCGGGTCAACTTTTCCTCCAGCGTTTCCTGCTATCAGAGGACCCACGTTTCAACCAGATACCACTCACTATGATTCCGAGCCTGAGCCAATGCAGATCGGACGAACCCGACTCACGTTGCAAGAGAGGCAACGACGATTGACAGCACGTGAATGTTTCTACTGTGGAAAGAGGACATTTTGTGCGATCTTGCCCAAACAAGTTAAACTCCAGCACTCACCAGCCATTCAGGGGATCCTGGTGAGTGAAGCTCGTTGTGCCCCTGATTCACGTTTTTGTCTTCCTGCCAGAATTATGCTTCAACAGAGACACTACTCCATTGAGCCCTCATTGACTCGGGAGCTGAGAGGAACCTTATTTCTCAAGATTTGGTAGATGAGCTTCAAATACCTACCAGAAGCCTTCCTTACCCCATTCCGGTGGCTGGAGTCACGGGAAAAAATATCACAACTATCACCCAGGAGGTAACTAACTTACCATTCATCATCTCCGGGAATCACAGAGAACTGGGTGAGTTCGTGGTTTTTCATTCTACCTCACCGCAGTTTATTTTGGGCTATCCATGGTTGATAAAACACAACCCCATCATTGATTGGCAGAAGAAAAGAGTCAGTGTTTGGAGCGAATATTTAAGGAACTGTCTAAGGTCTGCTGGTTTTCAGTCTGACACAATAAAGGAGGTGACCTCCGCTCCACCTGATTTGTCAAGAGTACCCAGGGTTTACCATGATTTTGCGCCCGTTTTTTGTAAAAATAAAGCTTTATCTTTACCTCCACATCGTCCATACGACTGCTCAATCGAACTGTTGCCGGGAGCCCCTCTCCCTTCGAGTCGCCTATATAACCTCTCTCAGAGCGAGAAAGAAACTATGCAGAAGTATTTAGACGAATCATTACAGTCTGGCATCATTCGCCCTTCAACGTCCCCATTAGGGGCAGGGTTTTTCTTTGTAGACAAGAAAGATGGTTCACTCCGCCCGTGTATTGACTACCGATGTCTAAATGCAATAACCATAAAAAACAAGTACCCACTTCCATTAATCAACTCAGTACAAGAATGACTTCTTTCTGCCACTGTTTTTTCAATATTGGACCTTAGAAACTCTTATCACCTTTTGAGGATCAAGGAAGGAGATGAGTGGAAAACTGCATTTAAGACCCCTTTTGGACATTTCGAATATTTGGTTATGCCGTTCGGACTCACTAATGCTCCTGCCATTTTTCAGGCTCTCATCAACAACGTTCTCCAAGATATGATCAATAAATTTGTGTTTGTGTACCTAGACGACGTTTTGATTTATTCTACTGACATCCAGTCCCACCAGACCCATGTTCGCACAGTATTACAACGACTATATGAGAACCGACTTTACGTCAAGGCTGAGAAGTGTGAATTCCATGTAACCTCTGTTTCTTTCCTTGGTTTTAATTTTTAACGAGGGACACTACCACACTGACCCTGAGAAGATCCGAGCGGTGCTGAAGTGGCCTACACCTACGGACAGAAAGCAACTTCAGAGGTTCCTGGGATTTGCGAACTTCTACCGTCGTTTTATCTGGAACTACAGTCAGACGGCAGCCCCTCTCACCCAACTTACATCCACAAATCTCAAGTTCAACTGGACCCCCGAAGCCGATCGAGCCTTCCGTGAGTTGAAGCAACGTTTTTGTTCTGCACCCATTCTCCGTCACCCTGACCCCCAACGTCAGTTCATTGTGGAGGTGGATGCATCAGATATTGGTGCTGGGGCAGTACTCTCTCAAAGGGACCCCCACGATAATAAAACTCACCCATGTGCTTTCTTTTCAAGACGTTTCTCTCCTGCTGAACGGAACTACGACGTTGGAAACCGTGAATTATTGGCCATAAAACTAGCCCTCGAGGAATGGAGACACTAGTTGGAGGGGGCCAATGTTCCATTTATCATTTGGACTGATCACAAGAACCTAGCGTATTTACAAGACGCCAAACGCCTTAACCCCCGTCAGGCCCGGTGGGCATTGTTTTTCACGAGATTCAGATTCACCATCACGTATCGCCCTGGTTGCAAAAATATTAAACCAGATGCATTGTCTCGACAATTCTCCTTTTCCGACCGAGAGAAGGAGGACTCTGGGATCTTGCCACAAGCCTGTGTGGTCTGAACTGTCACCTGGCCCATTGAACAGGAGATCAGGAAGGTTCAAGTTCAGCAACCTGATCCTGGCGGGGGGGACCACCTGGCACCATCTTCGTTCCAAAGAGTGTCGTCCACAAGGTTTTCGATTGGGTTCATTCGCATCACTTCACCTGTCATCCCGGCATCAACCGAATGATTGAATTCACCAAGAGACATTTCTGGTGGAAGACACTGTCAAAGGACATAAAGGAGTTTGTCAAGGCCTGCTCCACTTGTTCCCGAAATAAGAACAACAATCAACCACCGGCGGGTCTACTTCATCCACTACCAGTTCCAGACAGACCGTGGGCAAACATCGCTTTGGACTTCGTGACGGGTTTGCCTCCTTCAGATGGGAAGTCTGTAGTCCTCACTGTCGTGGACTGATTCTCTAAGGCTGCCCATTTCATTGCACTCGCAAGACTCCCTTCGGCTTTTGAGACGGCCCAGATTCTTCTACAAGAGGTTTTCAGAATTCACGGCTTACCCACAGACATTGTATCGGACAGAGGCCCACAATTCATATCCCAATTATGGAAGGAGTTCTGTAAGTCCATCGGGGCCACTGAGTTTGTCTTCCGGAT